CCGCTGCCTTGTTAACACACCGTACATGCGTGCAGTTCGGCCACATACATGTCTATAGGGTGGTTGACCGATATGAACTGATCTGTCCCCAACCCTATTGAAGTCTATAGACACTGTATATCAGCTCAGGGGGGCAGGGGGCAAGGGAGAGGAAAATGTAGTTTGAAAGCTTGCTTATTCTTAAAAGGTGTTTATTTCCTTTAAAATGATAAATGCGTAATATCAATAACTGCTACTTTACCTTTAGCTAATAACGTGGCTGTGTTTATGTCCTGAAATGAAACCTCATTATTCAGTTGAATAGGACTTCTTGTCTTCAGCATTTTTAGAAGATAGTAAACACCATCCTTGAGACACTGGAAAAACATAAGATGGCAGTATGAGTACTGCACCAGGATAAAAATAGACAATAGTTGTCTGGCTGTCATGCTCATTCACTGGCTTTGATACATTCAGAGTCATGGACGCAGAAAACACAGGTAATGATACAATGAAACCAAAGTGAAGTCAGATCTCCTAATCCATACTGGTCACTGGTCAGTAGTAATTTAACGACTGGTCGTTTGCCTATTCTACAGAGAAGGACGGCACACTCCATCAAAGCCTTCGACAGGATATGAGCCACCTGATTGCTTGTATGGTGCATGGGAGTGTGCGGGCCCAATCAACACCCCCCGTCCGGCTATCCTGAGCTTCGCTGTACCCTGTGTGGGCCCGAGATCGGCACAGCAGATCTCGTTGCTTGGGTCAGAGGGAGATCAGCACAGGTCCATGGGCTGATCAATTTCACCTGTCACTTCTCTAGCTTCTGTTACCGGAGAAGACGCTGGTGAAGCAAATTTGCTTCATGCTTTGATGTCCCTAGGTGACATTAGAGATTTAACCCATACATGACCAGTGAAGTACAATGTACGTCACCGGCATCGGGCCCGTTTAAACAGACTCCCGGTGGCAAAAACCACCGGGACTATGTTTACATTTGTAAAGCCAACTGTCGCAGGGATCTCAAGTCTCCCGAACGCTCAGGGAGTCTCCCGCTATTAGATAGCCGCTCCCTGACGCCCGCATGTGAAACAATATATCCCGGAAAGGTTTACTCGCAGTCAAAGGACCGGCCGAGAAGGGGACACTGCTACAGCGAGTAAACCTTTCCGGCAACCTGTAGCAGTGTCCCCTTCTTGGCCGATCCTCCGACTCCTCGAGAATTTCGACTGGTGAAATCACGTCCTGTGACTTGCCAGTCAGAGCTTTAGCCCACCTGCAGCTACTGCGTGTGCGCCAGCCTTACTCGATAAAACATTTATGTCTGTGCCTCAGGCAGGTGCAGTGGCCAAGTGGTAAGGCGTTGGTCTCGTAAAGCAAAGATCATGGGTTCAATCCCCATCTGAACCTTTGCTAGCTGCTCTATGTTATGTGCATGTTGGCATCACATTTCTGGATGATGGTTATTTATTTACCTGGTCTTAGTGACCTTTAGGGTTTAGCACCAAATGATAATGCCTGAATAAAAGAAAACTAAACATGGAGGTCACTACTCAAAAGAAGACAAAGCTGAGGTTGTTAAACCAGACTGGCAAGAAAATGCACAGAAGATTAAGTGGTGGTAGAATCAGACTCAAGCTGTCAACTAGAGGAGCAAAAATACAAGAAAAAAGTTTTAGGGCAGCACAGTGTCATAGTGGTCAGCACTTCTGCCTTGCAGCATGCAGGGTCACCAGATTGAATGCTGGTCAGGACACTATCTGCAATGAGTTTGTATACTCTCCCTGTGCTTGTGTGGGTTTCCTCTGGGTGGTCAAGTTTCCTCCCACACTCCAAAGACGTGCTGGAAGGTTAATTGGCTCTGTATGCATATGAGATAGGGACCGTAGATTGTAAGCTCCTTGAGCTCAGGGACAGATGTAAATGTGCAGCTATGTAAAGCTCTGTGCAAACAAGAATTTGAGACCCCTGATGAAGTCACGTGTTTTGACGTAAGGTACGTAGGGCAGAGCTTCTGATGTCACTGAGCTGAGCCGGACGAACAGGTTTTTTTAATTTTTTTATCGCTTTGCTGCCATTTGCCTTGCTGGTCTGATCCAGCAATACCCAATGCCTGTACTGTTTACACCATTGTGAGTACTCATTTTTTATTTAATAAATTTTTTTATTGGACGTTACGCACTATGTCCTTGTCCTTTTTCTCTTTCCACCTGGATTTTTACTGGTACCTGTGATCTGAGACCTTATCGCCTTTTCTGTGCATGGGCTTCCCTCCCCCATTAAGAAGGGAAAACGCGCATTTGACCTAGCTCTGTGGCTCTACCTCCCCAGGTGAGCACTCACTTGTTATCACTCTCTGGGTGGAGGTCTGCCTGCATTGTATGATTATCTTTACCTGAGAGTTATATGCAGATTGGCTGCGGATCATCTGAGGATTTTTTTTTTTTGCACAATCACCATCGTTTGCTTTTGTTTTTTCCTTGAGACTTTTTATTGTCAATATTGCTTTTTTGTCTTTGTGTAGATATTTTCTATGCCTCATTTGTTTGAAGGCTCATATATGTGACTCACGTATATATGTATGATTATTTGCTCAGCAGAATATTGTTTTTCAAATTTTTTCAGATATTTAGTTATATCCTTAGTGCTTGGTAGCTCTTATTTCCACATTACACTTACTGGCGCTGATCACCTTTATTGTTTATTTGAAGTACAGTGTACGTCACCGGCATCGGGCCCGTTTAAACAGACTCCCGGTGGCAAAAACCACCGGGACTATGTTTACATTTGTAAAGCCAACTGTCGCAGGGATCTCAAGTCTCACGGACGCTCAGGGAGTCCCCCGCATGTCAGAGGACCTACTCGCAGGTTTACGCGCAGTCAGAGGACCGGCCGAGAAGGGGACACTGCTACAGGTTGCCGGAAAGGTTTACTCGCAGTGAACCTTTCCGGCAACCTGTAGCAGTGTCCCCTTCTCGGCCTGTCCTCCGACTCCTCGAGAACTCCGACTGGTGACGTCATGTCCTGTGACTTGCCAGTCGGAGCTTTAGCCCACCTGCAGCTACTGCGCGTGCGCCAGCCTTACTTGAACTACCGCCACTGCGGCTGCGGGCCATTGCATGCCACTGTCAGAAGCCTCGATTCCCCTCATTGCGCCGTCACCCAAGCATAGTAGAAAGTTCTTCTAGTGTCTGCACAGGCGCAATGAGGGGTGTTAATGAGGAGTCTGACAGGCGCATGTGAAGCTGTGCAGTCGCAGTGGGGGGGGGAGAGAGTTGGATATTTCGGAAAACATTTATGTCTGTGCCTCCCACTCGCGCCTGCGTTTCCTCCTAGCTTAATCATATACATAAATATGATAATTTGGGGCAGGCTAATGAGCCCAGTCCTCCACACCATAGAGCAAAGGGTGCAGATAGGGAGGTGTTGCCAGTCCCTGCCTGCCCTACCTTCTATCTCATATCATATCAGAGACAACTGAAGTTTGCCAAAGAGAGAGTGTGATGATCACTCAGCACCATGGCAGAATGTGCAAGTAAAAAAAAAAAAAAAGTACAAAACGCACTTCACTCCTGACTACACTAAAGTGTACCCATGTCTAATAGGGGTAAAAAATAACGACTATATAACGAATAAGCTCGCTGCACTGTTTGCAGCAGTGATTTCTCAATTGCCCATGGTGGGTTAAATGATTGTAAGAGACATGTTGAGGTGAGTTTAATGTGTGACACTTTACAGTTAACCCCTTAATGACCAATGCCTCTTTTTCCTTTTTCGCACCCATGTTATAATCCACATTTTAGGCCTGAAAATTAGTTCAAACCCCAAAACATTGTATATTTTCTGAAAGCCAAGACCCTATAGAATAAAATAGTGGCAGTTGCAAATTTGTATGTTGCACGATATTAGCGCAACGTATTATCAAACCCAAAGCGTTTGTGAAAAATGCACTTAAGTTAAATGTAGTGCCCAGTGCACAATAAAATACCAATTGTTTTTACAAGATATAAAAGAGGAGGTTAGAAAGAGTAAATAGATACCCAACAAAATTGTGTGCGTCCGTGAAACTGCAACAAAATTCAGTACCCCCAAAAAGTCCATTGACAACGGTTTAAAAGCCCCTACAAGCCCACTCTTGCGTGCGTGGCGATACCCAACATGTGTAGCTCGATCACCGTTTTCGTACGTAGGTGCATACCCGATGCTTGTTTACGTTATGACGTGTGTGCTCACGGGGGCAGGGAACTTTAAACTTTTTATTATTATTTTTTTAACTTTAATTGCTATCACATAGGAGGGCTTAAAAGCCCGCCATGTGATAGCAGATTAGTGGTGACAGGTACTCTTAAAAGGTGATACTGTGGGTCCCCTAGTGTCACCTTTACACTCTCAATAAGCTATTGAAGTGCAGATCGCAGGCTTCAGGTGCCCAGCACTGACAGCTATGGGACCGGAAGTGATGCAATACACGTTGATCCCGGTCCCATAGAACGGGGTGGACATCAGTGAATGGAGGTTCACCGCTCTCCTCCCCAGCTTCCCACTGACACCCAAGATGCCGGTCCTGGGCCCGTAGGAGGGGCACCGGAGGCCAGGAAACACAGCCGGGGTGTCGGGCAGGCACTTTACCGGCTCGTAGGAGCGATCTGGCGACAGCTGAGTCACCAGAAATCGCTTCTATTGTAAAGCCGAAACTCAGCTTTATAAAAGTAAACAGAGTCCCCGACGGAGTCTGTTTTAACAGGCCCGTTGCCAGTGATGTACTAAGGGGTTAATATAGTTATAGCAGCTAGCTAAAATAATAGCGATGCTAAAAGATGAATGGCAGCATCGTGATGTATCATTCGCCCATAAGCATAGCTAACATTTTAACTAGCTACTGTAGTGATGTCTAGGTGAGTCATTTTTTTTATGTTGGCGCTATAAATAATTGTAATTACACTGTTTCATATACTATACATATGAAACAGTGTAATTACAATTATTTTTAGCGCCAACATATTTTGAAGTGCTGTACAATAGTGTATGTGAGACAATACAATTAAGTACTCTTGACAAGAATCATTGTCAGAGAAACAATAGGTGAAGAGAGCCCTGCCCATAGGAGCTTACAGTCCAAGTACATATTTTATTGTTACAGATTTTCTGCATACAAGACTTATGGTGCCCATACACTGTTCAAATTTTGGCTGTTTTTTGAGGAACCAGCTGAAATTCACACAGTGTGTCGGGCTGTCGGCACCCTTTCGATCTGCATTACTTGATCAGCTGATCGAAGGAGCCGGCTGGAAAATCTTTGATCGGTCAGAGCCGGCAGCCAATGAGCTGCCCGCTCTTGTCGGGTATTCTGACAGGTGTTGGCACCACCTGTAAGGATAAAATGCTAACAGCGGAATTACTTGAAATCGACATGCTGTTAGTGTTGATGGAAGAATCTGGTTTATTTTTTTCCTTCAGCCCGCGGGTTGAATGAAAAACAATAGGTGTATGGCCAGACTTAGATTAGGGGGCAATCACAAAAACAAAGTATGTATGTAACCTATTACATAACACAATATAAAAAGGGTACACCTTATGCTTTTATTTCTTTTAGGGACCTCTGCATATTAGGGAGGCTAAGCGCAGGGAAGACTGCTCACGTATTTCACAGTTCTTTTCAGCAGAAAACCAAAGTCTAACAGAGAAGGTCACTAGAGCTGAGGTATACTTTACATCTTTCGTTGTTGAGCATAACCTGCCATTCCAGGTGTGTAAGCACACAGGCAAGCTATTCAGGAAAAATTTTCCGGATTCAGAAATAGCAAAAAACTATGCCTGTTCATCAACAAAGACAGCAGCTATCGTGAACATGGCACTGGAACCTGAATGTTCAGAGGAACTGTACAAGTTCATTAGGATAGGAAAAAGACCATATAGTATTTTGGTTGATGAAAGCAATGATATCATGTGTGAGAAGGAATGTGCCATTTTAGTCAGGTGCTATGATGAAACACAGGATAAGGTAACAGTTGGATTTGTAGACATGCAAAAGTGCAATGATGCCACAGCTGCAAATATATTCAACTCCATTGCATCATCCATGCATGACAAAGGCCTTGAGTGGTCTAATTGTGTAGGATTTAGCAGTGATAACTGCAATGTTATGATTGTCAAAAACAACTCTTTATTGTCAAGAGTGAAAGCACAGGCCCCTCATATTTACAGTGTTGGCTGTCCAAGTCACCTGGTCAACATTTGTGCCAAAACTGCGGCTAAGGAGCTCTCACTGTCACCCGTAGAACTGCTCATTGACATCTATTACTACTTTGAGAAAAGTAGTAAGAGAAGAGAATACCTAAAACAGTTTCAAGAGTTCTGCAATGTTGCCCAGCAGAGAGTACAAAAGCATTGTCCTACACGCTTGCTTTCTTTAGGAAAAGGTTTGGACCATCTGCTCCACCAATGGCCAGCTTTTCTATCATATTTTGAATTAAAAATTGAGAATCGGAAGTCATCTAGTTCTCTATTCTGAAAAGGCTGAAAGATCCCCAAATGAAACTATATGCATGCTTTTTACATAATGTCACACAGTGCTTTGACAAATTCAATTTGATATGTCAAAACAAGGCACCTATCCTCTTCAAGTTGAATCAGAGCGTACAAGAGCTCCTGCATGACATGGCAAGCAGATTTATTAAGTCGAAGGAGAGAACACAACATTCGAGAAATAGATGTAAGCAACACTGAAACTTACCTCCCAGATGAAGAGTTATGTGTTGGGTACCTGGCCGGGATGCAGTTGCTAAGTGAGGAAGGACAAGAGATGCCCCCTTACAAGACAAAGCAGTTCTTTAAAGATGTCAGAGCATTCTATGTCAGGAGCATTAAAAGAATCTTAAAGAAGTTCCCAATGGGAGACCAAGTCTTGAAGAATCTGTCAGTGGTTAATATGGAAAACCAAGATGAGATTTTGGCAGAGATTTCCAAATGTGATTAAGGCAGATGCCAGAGAACAGCTCCACATGGAAGTCCTGGATTATGTCTCAACAAATCTTGAGGGACTGGTGCCAAACTACAAAAGTTTACCAGTAGATGAATTCTGGGGGAAGCTGTCCAAAGTAAAATCTGTGCGCACAGGGCAGTTGAGGTTTAAAGAGCTCTGCCAGCTGATGAAGTTGCTTTTGGTGCTGCCAAATTCTAATTGTGACGTGGGCATTCATCAATGTGCGTCACATTAAGAAGGAATTCAAAAGTCAGCTGTCTCACAAAACTCTTGTGAATCTGATGTCTTGCAAAATTAATACATTTATTGACACAGACTGCAATGAGGTTGAGACTTCCAGCAAAATGCTGAAATCTGCCAAACAAGCTACTTGCAGTACAATGAAAGTTTGCAAAAAATGTTTTCTTCCTGTGTGGATTTTGTAGATTGTTATAACACATGGCCAGACCTGGTGCGGTGTAATCTACACCTTGAGATGTTACTGTTCTTCTTTCTTTTTGGTCATACATTATATAATGTTTCACTATGTTCCCATATAGGTTTTGTTCCTGTTAACATTGCCTTTAACTGTTACAGATGCTGCATCAGCACAGTAACCTTGCTATACGTTAATGTTCTGCATATGTTTGGAAAATGTAATAAAAAGTTCATGAAAGAAAAAAAAAAAAAAAAAAAACCCCCCCGAAAAGAGAAAGGCACCTCCCTGAAATGAGTTTTTGCAGGTTGGGATGTCTGCCGTCGGCTTTACAGTAGCAGCGATTCTGGCAGCCAGATCGCTTCCACGGGCCGGTAAACTCCCCCCCATCACTGCCAACATGTTGTCACAAGGAGGGCTTGCAAGCTACACCTAGGTGATAGCAATTAAAGTAAAAAAACAAAATGTTTTAAATATTAAATTCATGTAAAAATGTTAATGTCCCCCGTGAGCACGCGCTCCTTCATGTACACATGCGTCGGGTGCGCCTACGTATGAAAACGATGATCACGCTACACATGTTGGGTTTTGCCACGCACACCGAAATGAGAGCAATAATTCTAGGGCCAATACCTACACACATCTCTAAACTGATGACCTGTGGGGGCTTTTAAAGCATCTATGGACGCACAAAATCACTACTACCAAGTGATTAAGCATGAAAGAAACCCATAATGTTGCAGGATAAAATCCTGCAACATAAAAATTTGCAACTGCCACCATTTTATTCTATAGGGTCTTGGAAAGGCCTCGGTCATGAAGTTAATTGACCCCTGATGTTCCCATAAAGAGGACCTGTCAAAACCTTCAGTCTTGCAGTTTTACCAGCTTTGATTTTACTGCACACCAAGCTTTTCACAATGTGTATTAGAAGCTGCAGTAAGTTAGATAAAGCCCACCTTATTTCCTGGCTGAAGGATGTCCAGCATCATATAGACCAGGGGTAGAAAAACTCCAGCCATCCAGCTGTGGTGCAACTACAAACCCCATTAGGCAATACCAGACTCTGAAAGCCACAGGCATGGGTGCCAGAGATGCAACATAGGATTTTTATTTTCCCTACAGCTGGTGGTGAAGATGAGAAACTGCATTCAGTGGAAAACACATTGATCCTCCGAATGTCTTCATCCTCATAGGCTGCACATATACGTCAATATCCGTACAGTTCATAGTGCAATCTAAATCCACATACTGTATATAATATCGCACTTTGTGGTTATCGGTTTGAGGTTTCACTTGGTGCTGTTTATTAAATACAGGAATCAATTGGCAATATAGAGGTCACTGCTGTAGCTTTATAAAATCAGCACGTCATGTCTAGCAATAAGTCTGGTGTACAGTCAGGTACTGAATCTGCAGGGTAAAGTGTGTCAGACAGGTTACAGCTGCACCCAGACCATTGTATCAAAGGCCAATAACGAAATACGCCAGTAGTACCCAGCCTGAAGTTTGTTCAGCACTTACTGTACTGCAAGTCACAGGTTTTACAAGAAACCTAAATGTGAAATATCTTTAAGTTGGCCATCCCCAGACC